TGGAAAAAGAGGCTGCCGCCAGAAGAGGACCCCAGGAGCAGGGAAGGAGAGGCTGAAAGCCGGAGCGAGTGGGTTTGCAGGAGGCGTGGGTGAGGTGTGGGGTGGGAAAAGGACTGGTGTGGCTCCAGGTCGGGCTGAGTCCTTGGATCTTGGGGTGTCCTGGTTGAGTGGCGTCGAGAAGTGTGGCCCAGGCAGCGAGTCCAACGGGCCGGGAGCCTCTACTAATGCGTAAATAATACCGGCTAAACCACTCAGCTCCCGAAGTTAGCTCAGGGAGCTCTGGGCATCCCGTGCAGCTGCGGGGCACCGAGGCTGGGATTCACCTGCGCCCAGGGCCGCACAGGCAGGTGGGGTGAGCCGGGTTCAGGGCGCAGGCCTCTCTCTTGCCCCCTGTGCCCGGGGAATGGGGGGCGCGCAGAGCCAGTGGCCACAGCGCAGCAGCACCTTGCCGCAGGCCTCGGGCGCTTGCGCGCAGCGCAGGCCGCGCCGCCCCGCCGCTCCGCGCCCCAGCCCCGGCCCTGGGCCAGGGAGCGCTGCCCTGGGGAGACCTGTCGCTCAACAAGTGCCTGGTGCTCGCCTCGCTGGTGGCGCTGCTGGGCTCGGCTTTCCAACTGTGCCGCGGTGGCGCGGGCTCACAGAGGTGGGGCGAGGCTGAGGTCCACCTATGCGCCTATTCCTCCAAGGGAAGGGCCCTGTGGCCTTGGCCAGATCTGGGAGCTCCTTCCCAGGAGTAGGTTTTGCATGCCCCAAAGTTGGTTTGTACATCTCCCCTTAGTGACAGACATGCGCGCCCCCTCTCACCCACGTCTGGACCTTTTTTGCGGGGCCCATTTCCCCTCGCCGCAGTAGGTTCTGGCTTCGGATGGACCTTGTGCAACCCCTCCTCCCGCGGCCATTCTGCCGCCTTCCTCCTGCGCCCTCTCTGGGGACAGCTCAGCTAGTGGCCAGAATCTCACTCACGACCACGTCCTTGCTAGGGGTCTCCTACAGCCCGTGGTCGGGGAAAGAATGAGGATTGAAAGAGCGGAGTTCGGGCCGGGCGCGGTGGCTCAAGCCTGTAATCCCAGCACTTTGGGGAGGCCGAGATGGGCGGATCACGAGGTCAGGAGATCGAGACCATCCTGACTAACACGGTGAAACCCCGTCTCTGCTAAAAATACTAGCCGGGCGTGGTGGCGCGCCTGTAGTCCCAGCTACTCGGGAGGCTGAGGCAGGCTAGTAAACCCGGGAGGCGGAGCTTGCAGTGAGCTGAGATCCGGCCTGCACTCCAGCCTGGGCGACAGAGCCAGACTCCGTCTCAAAAGAAAAAATAAAAGAAGAGGCGAGGTTCGGAGGGCGCTCCGCAGCAGGCGGAATCCCGGAGTCCCTTCCACGGCTCAGGGCATCCTTAGCCTCAGCCGTACCGCGCGGGAGCCTCCAGAGGCCCGTCCAGGGAGGGGCTCTAGCGGTGAGGGACGGATGGACAGTGTAGTCCATACCTCGACCCATCATTCGGGTCCCGACCTGTCGCTGCAGGCCTTACCGTGGCTGGGAGGCAGCAGTCCAAGCGCGTGCGCCCGAGCCCTGGGTCCCGCCAAGCTCGGCCCCGAGGGAGCCATCGTCGCCCCTGGTAAGCGCTTCCTTCCAGTGACCGCGGGCAGTGGGGCCTTCATCCCCAGGAAAGGAGCCCGGGCCGGGGAGGCAGGTGGCCTTTGCAGGACCCCATTCTCTGTCTGCAGCCTAAGTTCGAGGCCCAGGCGCCCCATCAAGCGCTGCTGCGCCCGGACGAGGCAGAGATCAGACCCAGATTCCCGGGAGTCGGGATGCAGAGAAGGACGAGGCCACCGGAGGGACCGTCGGGGAGGACGTGCGCCCCTCGCAGACCCGGGGGACAGGAGGCCTGGAGGGGGAAACCGCGGAAGGGAGAAGCCGCGGAAGGAGGAGAGGCCGAGAAGAGGCCGCGGAAGGAGGGGAGGCCACGGGCATGAGAGCCCCGGGAAGCCCCTGCCTCGGCGCTGGGAGTCAGCGAAGGGGGCCATCGGCCGTGGGCACGAGACTCCAGGACGCCGAGCCCAGGAAGAGGCAGGCCTGGGTCTCCCGGCGTCAGCGAGGAGGAGCGGCCTGGGAGTCGCCAAGCTCAGCACTTAGGCAAAGGCGGGACTAAGCCGGCCCGCGCCCCGAGTCAGGGACCCTTCTCGACAACCCGACTCTGGCGAAATAAAGCTGAGGCTGCGGCACTTGGGGTCATCTCTTCTTTACGCCTGGACCCGGCAACGAGGTCCGGGAGCCTGAAAGACCGTCGCGGGGCGCTTCCAGGCAGGGGAAAGGCAGCGAGCGCTACAGGGTGGACCCAGGCCGTGCCCAGGAGACGGCGGCCCTCTATACTGCCACGGACACCTCGGTTGCTTGCTGGTCTTTATTGGGCGATACTTGGGGTCAGAATAAATATGGGAAGGCGCGAGCTGGCCGTCCGGCCCTCGGGCCCAGGAGAGTCGCGGGGCGCAGGGGTCACCGGCAGCCACACTCGGTGGCCACCATGTTGGGCACGTGGTGCGCGCTGATGCGCTCCTCCGACAGGCTGATGAGCAGCTTGCCCGCGTAGGCGGTGGGCACGCACAGCAGGGGCGCGCCAGGCGGCCACGAGGCCTGCATCTTCAGCAGCAGCACCACGTGGTTGCCGTAGCGCGGGTTGCGGTCGGACTGCGGCCAGCCGCACACGCCCTGGCAATTGTTGGCCTGGTAGGTCTCCGGGATGAGTACGGAGCGCTCGGCGCGGAGGTCTACGCTGAGCTCGCGCCTTCGCATAGCCCGTCGCGGCGGTGGTTCCTGCGCTGCGTGTGCCCGCCCGGCCCGCGTGGATCCCGCCCGCGCCACTCGGCGCCCAGGCCCTGCAGCGCCTTCAGAAGCAGCAGAGCTGCGGAGATCGCCGGGGCCGCCGGGCTTCGCGCCTGGGCAGAGCGCGAGCGGCGCGTGCCAGCAGCGGGGCTGCGGCTGAGGCGAACCCGGGAGGCTGTGCAGCTCAGCAGCTGCTGCTGCAGCTCGGCAGCCACGCGGCGCGCGCCAGGGCAATCGCCCACGGCGCGACGATGAGGTAGATGGCGCGAGGTCCCCGGTGGTGGCCGCGGTGGGCCGCCGCCATTCTCCTGCCTCAGCCTCCCGAGTAGCTGGGACTACAGGCGCTTGCCACCTCGCCCGGCTAGTTTTTTTTTTTTGTATTTTTTAGTAGAGACGGGGTTTCACTGTGTTAGCCAGGGTGGTCTCGATCTCCTGACCTCGTGATTCGCCCGCCTCGGCCTCCCAAAGTGCTGGGATTACAGGCTTGAGCCACCGCGCCCGGCCGAACTTACCATTTTTAATATGCACCATGCTGCCTGTGATAAGCTCAGGCCACAGGGAGGCTGCACAAGGCCGGGGTTTGGCCACAAAGCCGCAGAGGCGTCTGCTGCTGGGTGATAAAGCAGGACCCACAGCCGTGCAGGCAACCTCCAACCTCGGGACGAGCTGGGCAAACACACACGGAAAAGCGAGGTCCCCAAGTAAACAGGGCTTATCTCAAGCAAGCTGCTGTTTTTCCCTTTACTGTACTTATATTTCTTTCTTTCTTTCTTTCTTTCTTTTTTTTTTTTTTTGAGACAGAGTCTTGCTCTGTCACCCAGGCTGGAGTGCAGTGGCACAATCTGAGCTCACTGCAAGCTCTTGCAAGCTCTGCCTCCTGGGTTCACACCATTCTCCTGCATCAGCCTCCCGAGTAGCTGGGACTACAGGCACCCGCCACCACGCCCAGCTAAGTTTTGTATTTTTAGTAGAGACAGGATTTCACTGTGTTAGCCAGTATGGTCTCGATCTTCTGACCTCGTGATCCACCCACCTTGGCCTCCCAAAGTGCTGGGATTACAGGCGTAAGTCCCCGTGCCTGGCCTTGAGACCAGGTCTCTTAAAAAAAAAAAAAAAAAAAGCTATTTATTTTGACCAGGGAAATGCAAATCAAAACCACAATGAGATCATGCCGTTCACACCCACTAGGCTGGCAATAAAAAAAACAAAGAAATTGGAAAATGATGAGTTGGATGTGGAAAAGTTAGAACGGTCCTGTGTGGCTGCTGAGCAGGTAAAACAGTGCAGTCACTTTGGAAAAAAGACTAGCGGCTCTTCAAAAAGTTAAGCATAGAAACAGGGCGCAGTGGTTCACACCTGTAATCCCAGCACTTTGGGAGGCCAAGGCGGGTGGATCACTTGAGCCCAGGAGTTCGAGACCAGCCTGGGCAACATGGTGAAACCCCGTCTCTACTAAAAACACACAAAAAAAATTAGCCGGGCGTGGTGGCGGGCACCTGCAGTCCCAGCTACTCGAGAGGCTGAGGCAGGAGAATGGTGTGAACCTGGGAGGCGGCGCTTGCAGTGAGCCGAGATGGCGCGACTGCACTCCAGCCTGGGCAACAGAGCGAGACTCCGTCTCAAAAAAAAAAATAAAGGCCGGGCGCAGTGGCTCAAGCCTGTAATCCCAGCACTTTGGGAGGCCGAGACGGGCGGATCACCAGGTCAGGAGATTGAGACCATCCTGGCTAACCTGGTGAAACCCCGTCTCTACTAAAAAATACAAAAAACTAGCCAGGTGTGGTGGCAGGTGCCTGTAGTCCCAGATACTCGGGAGGCTGAGGCAGGAGAATGGCGTGAACCCGGGGAGGCGGAGCTTGCAGTGAGCTGAGATCCGGCCACTGCACTCCAGCCTGGGCGACAGAGCGAGACTCTGTGTCAAAAAATGAATAGAATAGAATAGAATAGAATAGAATAGAATAGAATAGAATAGA